TGAAGTAAATAGTTTTTTACAAAATCTTTCTACCATCTATTCATAACATATCAGCACTGATTTTAGTCACAGAATTCAGTGCTTTGTTATCTCAGAGTAGTTTAAGTGTGCTACTTTGAAAATCAACACGAAAGATGCAACAAAGCAGCTTTGAACTTCATTACAATGAAATGTAGGGTAGCTTCCTTACAAAAAAATATTATCCTCTCTTACAGGTGGTTCCATCAAGCTCCCAATCCCTGCACTGGTGCACAGGATTGGCTTTACTCGGGCAACTACTGGGACAGAAACTACTGTAATTTACCTGACATTTACTGAAATGTCAAAGGAGCCCATGACTAATGCAAATTAAGTCTTAATCTGTTTTTAACATTTTCCCATTTCTACTCATCTCTTGGAAAAACTGACAAGTTACTGAACAGTATATTAAGCATCTTCTGAAGTAAATATGGTGGTACAGATTTGAAAGCCCATGGGTAGGGAAGTCATTTTGTCTAGTGAAATATTTATTGAAGGTAGTTACTTGCATGGACAACTGCTCAGAAACGTCGTTTTTCTGATGGGTTAGTGCTACCGTATTTGCTGAATTCACCTATTAAGTTTTGGTGGATAACAAATAGAGCATCTGAAGGTGTTCTATGAATCCTTTCTCTTAATGATTATGCTGGCACAATAGCCCTGTGGGGTGGATTTACTGTGGCATGGAAATGTTTAAAAGCACAGGTATGAATTGCAATATTCTGTGCTTAAACTAAAGAAGGCAAGTTTATTTTTGTGAAAATGTATTTAACTTTCATAAGATGGCTTTCTATTAATAAACTCTCAGAATCCTGGGTTCTGGTCAATGATTCCAGAACTATTGCCCTCTCCCCAAATGCTCATGATGTAGGTTACACTGGTAACACTACTTCAAGTATTTATTCCATGTTTAGTGCAGTGTTTTGAATTTGCTCTTTCATGCTCTACCAGCCTCATTTTGTTAAGGAAGCAAGAGCCATTTGAACTGAACACTAGTAAGAAACTTAAAAAAAAAAAGCTGTTTACTGCACTACAAACTATAGGTATGCAGCACCATCAGTGTACAATTGCAAACACTTTTTAAAAATCAGGACTCCGTGGAACGTAACTACCAGAGAAATTAAACTGCACCTGTGTATGCACTGTACAGATCACACTTTCTAGAAGAAATTCATGTGCATTTGAAGTCCATAAGGCACCGGAGAGAGACTGCTGTACACACCAGCTTTAACCCTTTAATTGGGGTGCATTAGCTCTTGCATATAAATACATATTTATACAGAACTGGGGTACAGTGCTTCCAGCTGCTCTTTATACACTATTTTAATTGCTATCTGGAGGCAGGTTTTAATTACATTAATTGCTGCTAAATAAAGGCTTTCAAATGTTCCAATGCTCTGATTTCTCAGATTCTTTTTAATAGGGGTTGCGTGAACTGATAGGAGCAAAGGCATCTGCTTGTAAGTCCTCTTGCTGAGATTGGGTTTAGGATGAAGTAGCTGAAGCTTGTTGTTCTGTTTTCATAAAGTCTGTAACTTTCTCAGGCAAAAGCTGCTCAGCAAACAAGGAACAAGGTTTCTAACTCAAGGCTGAATCACACAAGATTCTCCTGCATCACTGACCTATCAACTGGAGAAGAACAGATTATACCTCAAACTTGGAAGGGTTTTGTTGTGAAATTAATCCTGGAATGTCTTTGCCTCAAAACTTGAATATCTTCCAGTCACCCTCTACCCCTTGTGATACCTTGGGGATTGTTCCAATTGACTGGGGATTGTTCCAGTTGACTGGGTTTCAAAAGTCAATCTGAGCACCAGAAAGTGGCAGAGTCTTGTCCCTGGAATTGGTGGTTGGAGAGTGACTAGAAAGAAGCATTCAGGGGCATGTCTCCCAGCCCCTCAGCTAGTGGTTTCCTTTACTGCAAGAGGGAACTGAGGCTACATCTAGACTGCAGAGTTTACATACCTTTTTCTGCCTCTTTTCCTCCCCTCAAAAGAGGCTTTTCTGAAATTTGGCCCAGCTCCATGGGGCCCAATTTTGGAAAAACCTTTTGGAACATCCCTTATTCCTCTCAACAAAATGCAACAGCTTTTCCAGGATACCTCCAGAGTCCTGGAAAAACCCTGCAGTCTAGACATAGCCTGCGGAGACTGTTTGTGGTTCAGTGGCATTTGATTTTTATTTTAAATGTAAGAAGCTGTGCAAGAGGAGCATAGTGAGCTCCTAAAGACTGGGCCTCTAAGAATAGATTCAGAAATCAAGCTATTATCACTAGATAGTTTAGAAAAGATACGGATACTCCCTGGTAACCGCTGAGAACTGTTAAGAGTCTAACAGAGCAAAACTAGATTGTCTTCAATGTCCATTGTAGTTTAATAAATGCCTGGAGCACTGGCCCTCTGTGTGGCACAGTACTATCTGCTAGCTATGTAGTGGTTCTTCCCCTCTCCCCCATACCTCATTGCAGCTCCCAGCTGTAATGTCTGTTTGGGGACATCCTAAGTATAAAGGCATTGCTTAAGTGTCTACAGAACTGTTGTAACAGTATAGGATGGTTTTAAATTAGTTCCATGCACACTTAGCTAAGGGTACCATGTAGCCTTCCATATAGCCATTAAAAGTGCACTGAACTCTATTAGCTAAACATTGCCAGGGGAACTCAGCCACCCACTTGCTACAGTGAGGAAGCATTCTTATGGGTATAAGTGTCATTGCCTGTGCTGCTGGTGCTATAATTTCCCCTAGAAGCCTCATTATGTAATTATCTTCAGTAAGCTGTTAGTATTCTACCAACACTCCAGAAAGTGTTTAAAAAAAAAAAAAAGCATTCTAGCAGACTGCCTAGTTTTTGAGTGCTTGTATTAAGTTAATTTATTTTAAGTTGCAGATTTCCATCTCAGGGTGAAGTTAACATGACATCTTCTTTCAACCTGTTAAAGAAATTATACTTAGTTAATATGTTTTCTCATACCACTCATCCACATGCACAGTCGTCTCCTATCCTTTCCAAAAGAGATTTGGAAATAGCACTCCCCCACATGGGATAGGTCTACTAAACAGGGCACATAGGGGTTGTATGCAATGGAATTGGAAGGTGTATATTGCAGCTTGGAGACAGAACAGGACTAGCTCTTGCCCAAGCTAAAAATCAACAAGTGCTTGAGGTTATAGCAGGGACTGTACATGGGATGACTAGCCCTTTGTCCAATTACATTTACACTCCTGTTTTGCATGAGCCCAGGTCTTGAAGCTGTAATTTGTACCTCTGTGCTCATCTGTGGCCATGCACTGTAACAGGGTATAAATCTACAATGCATCTAGTAGAGGATTCTGGCAGAGGGTGATGAAAATAAGTTATTCATCCCTAATTAGCAATTTACAGGATTTGCAAAGGCCAGAGCTAGAATCAGCTCCAAACCTCATCACAGCTTATCTAAAATCAAAATGTACTGAACCTCCCTCTGCACTTGCACTGTATGTCAGATACACTAGCTCCAACCTTGTGAAGCATCATGGGCTAAGGGAATGGGAAGAGGAATCAATGTCCCCAACCAGTGTTAAGCAGGCTTCAAATCAAATATGTTGTGTGGTTTCAGCTGTCACTCAAGGCACTTTAGGTTCAGGGGAAGTTATGTCGTCAGCACCTCTAAATTCCAGGCTGTGTTCAAAATCAGCCTTGCCATAAATCTGAATGTAAAGCAAAACTTCAGCTATGCACATTGACATGAAGCTGCCTACCTTATGAGTCTGCTCTGCGGACCGGGCCAGAAGTAAATGTAATCTCGCCTGCTATACCATAGCTTCCTGCAAAGGGATTTATGCCTGTTTGTTTGTCACCAGCTGCACCTCTCTTTGCAGCCATTACATCATCCAAGGGGATGGCAACTGAAAGAAAAACTGGGGTTGGTGGTCTAGCAGTTTCTTGTGCAGAATTAGAATTGGGGCTTGGAGTGGCCATTTTCAGATCTGCTGGTCTGGCAACTGGTATGGGTACGGTAGTGAATCTCCTCACAGCACTTGTCTCATGCTGTGCAAGAACAGCATGGCCAGGAATAGATTTCCAGTCCTGTACATTCTGAACAGTAGAGCCCACTAAAATGAAGGGTGGTGCATTTCCCCTCTTGCCTTCTTCCATCACATAAGTTGGAGAGGATACTTGTGGCGGTGGACCTTGTGGTGGCAGCTGCTGTTGTAGGAACGGCTGTTGTTCCTTCCCACTAGATATATAGAGGGTTGCTTGGGGATAAGGAGCACCAGTTCCAGCAGGAGGAAGGGGTGGTGGTGACTTTCGACCTTGTTGATTCAAATCAGTTAGACAATAGAGTGTCCACACATTAGAATATGGTGGTGGTTGTCCTGCTTCGGTTGTTGCCATTGCTATAAAATAAAAAATTTAAAAAATTGCTGGTATCAGGAGCTATGAATTGCAATCTAATTGCAAACCCTTACATATAACATGCCTATACTTACACATGCCATACGAAAGCATGTTAGAGAGGACTGATGGGGATTTTTGCACAGGCTGAAATGAAGAGAGCAGCAGTGTTGCAGCAAAGGGTAATGGTGCTGAAGTTATGTCCAAAGAGATCCTTACTCTTCCTCTGACTACAGACCCTCAAAGAGTCTGTTAGCAGCACAAGAGGAATTTCTACAGTCTGCCCCCACCTAAAAGTCAGAGGAGGCGCTTACTTTTTACAGCTGTTTTCAAAGGAGAATTTGATAAAGAACCTTTATCAACACCCAAACGGGGATCAGAGTATGTGTAGTGCTTCCAATCATAACTAAAACCCCACTGCCCCCACCACAACACTTCTTTCTTCATTTCAGCCATGAAAAATCCCTTGGTGTTGCTTAACATGGTTTGGTTCAGTAACATGCTTTGATATGTCTCAACACCTCTACCTTTCTTGGGACCTGGAAGGGGCTCGAAGGGTTCTGCAATAATAGGGAGAGTCAGGAAGGCACTTCTTGCTGGAGAAGGGGGCACAGGAGGGATTCTCCAGCTGGGAGAAGGGGGTGGGCTGAGCACATGTTAGAGGCCAGAGAGTGGATTTGCAGCTGGGAGGGGAATCTGCATAGGGTGCTTGACAGGTGAGGAGTTTGTTCCAACGACATCTCACCAGGACAAGTGCCAGACCCTCTTGCCAGCTGCAGCAGCTCCTGCCAAGTGCCTCGTCCTTCCACCTCGACCCAGCTGCAGAACAGGACAGTGCAGGCAAACACCACCATTTCTTTTTTAAAGGCAAACAGGCTATGTTAATGCAAGGGCTAGGATTGAAAGGTTTCAAAGTCAGGGCACATTCAAAGTTCTGACCACCTCCAGCACCTTTCCTCAACCACAAGTATTACATCTTACACCTCTGCCTTTGCTTCAAACTGAGTGGCTCATTTGCAGCAAGACCAAGGCTTGTTTAAAGGCAAAACACACCTCCACCTCTCTCTTACATAGGCCTAGAGCTAGTGCTGTCTGCATCCCTGATGCCACAACAAATCAATTTGAAGGCACCTGTGAACACATTTCTCTGATGCGGACAATACTAATCTCCAAGATGTTTACAGGTCTTACTCACAATTAGTCACACATTTTGGAACAAACTGCAGAGAGATCTAATACCTGTGCATTGGGGCCAGGTGATTGTAGAGGAAACCAGAACTTCTTATGTGCCCCAAAGTGAGGAAGTTCAATCTCGCTCCCATAGCCTTGCAGTGGCATAGGTGCTTGCATTTAATAATTTAGCTATTGAGCTACAGCTACCTTTAACTTGGAATATGAAACTTTCATTAAGAGCCAACTTTCTTACCTGACATAATAAAACCTTGCTCAGCTGATGCCATTTGCGCAGTAGTTTCCATTCTTTCAGGGTCACATTCTGCATCATCTGCAGATGGATCTAAAAGCTTAGCGCATGTAAACTGACCTGCATTTAGTGAAGGCATTAGTGGCTGCTGAATCTCTATCAGACAAGCTACTTGTTCTAAAAAGGGAATTACTATTTGCTGTGGGAACTGCTCTATATAAGGTGGAACTTCTCCTTTAGTAGTGAGCTCATCATCAGTATGTATTGACATAGCCTGAATGTTTGATGTAACCTCAATTTCGCTTTGGGAAGACACAGCCTGTATTGGTGGTGGTGGAGGAGGAGGAGGTGGTGGTGCTGGTGGTGGTTCATCCTGCAAGGGGGTTGAGGAAGCTTGGTTTACATCACTTGTTGTTCGTTCAACCTGACTGCTGGAGGACCTTATGGCAGTAGAGGACTCTGCGGCAACAGAAGCCCGACTCTGGGCCGCGGCAACGGACGCCTGACTCTGGGCCGCGGCAACGGACGCCTGACTCTGGGTGCCTGACTTCAGTTTAACAGAATGTGCAGAACCCTCAGCGGCTGGGGAAAGTGGAGCATCTTCAGCAGCAGCACCCTCTACTGGTGCAGCTGTTGTGTCCTCTGCGCTCAGACATACTTCAGGAAGAGTCTGCACGCTTGTTGCCACATCCTTCAAAGAAGGAACAGAATCAGTGTTACCTAACATCTGTGCAGCAAGCTGGGCAGGATCAGCTGGAACATAGGCAAGTTCCGGTCCCTTAGGGGAGGATTCTGGTCCTGTAGGGGATGGCTCATTTTCTACAAGGTCACTGTGAGTCGATGGGTACTGAGTAGTTTTGCTGCTGTATTCAGGTTCAGGGCCTTCATGCAGCTGGTCCTCCTCTGTGTCTGTGGATTTTTCCTTTCGTTTCGGTTCCTCAGTAAGTGGAGACACGGCACTTAGGTCTCCAAGATCAGGTCTCTTTTCTGGCAGTCTTTCTGTCCAGCCCTCGACTAATTAAAAGAAGACAAGGACAGTTAGCTGGTGCTTCCAAAACTCTTGGTGCTCTTGGTATAACCTGTTTATCAAGCTTTTAAAGCAGGGATAGTTAATAGGCGAGGCGAATTTCAGGCCCAACATCAGACTGCTAAAGACTTATAAACTGATTCTGAAAACTTTTAGTTTTTATTTTCTCTGGAGTCTGGATGGACCTTGACATACGCAAAACTGACTACACCTGCTTTAAAGTTAATTCAATCAGTTCATTCTAGATACAAGAGGAAGACATTGGATTTTTGTTTAACT